GAATGGTCCTGCATTCCATTACTACCTTTGCAATAAAAATTCCTAGGCTGTTTACTGAACATTGGAAACAGGTTAACTTGCGAAATCTCTACGCTGGTTTTCAAGATCAGAATGTCAAATAAAAACAAGTTTCCATTTCCCGCAAGACGCAAAGATTTTCGCAAGAACGACCACAGATTGGGAAAGACCACAACACCAATTGAGCTTAATTAACTACATATTCGAACAGAAATCAAACATACCCAAATCTTCCATGGCAACTTGCAGGACAATTTCAGATATCCACTTGCTAATTCGCCGTTCTTGTTAAATTGTCAAACTAACGGACTACTACGGTCTAAAACTCAGACGAATACGTTTACAAATCAGTGAACCCTTCAGCTTCTTACGGAGTCTGACAAATTCGTAATACGTCGGACTGGTTCGGAATGAGTCGGGTGTTTATTTCTGTCAATCATCCAAACAACTTCGTGAATAGTTCGCATACCTCTTGCATACGAATGTCAAATATGGACAACACCGGAAGTAAAGTTGGGTGTTAACCGGTGAATGAGCATGACGTAAAGATCAAGGGTCACGTAAGAGGCTTTTAATTTAATTGTCCAATTACGACTAAATGCGTCGGTTTGGAACGTAAGTTGAAGGGTAGATTGGTGAAGAAAGGCATAAATTTGTGAACGGATTTTGCTCTGACCTCAAGATCAGACAACAAAATCCGATTATAGCCAAACAAACTCTTAAATTTCGCTCTAAGCCTCTAAGCACCTAAGGAATTAACTAACCCTTTGGGAAAAAACCTTATCCGAGAAATACTATGTTCTGAAAAGTGAAACGACAGAAAAAAAAAAACGCGCTAAAAAAAGGTTGTTAATTTAGTATCTTTAAGGATTAATAACTAGACAAAAACTGCATTACATTTTATGTGAAACAACACTAATGCACTTCTTTGTATTAAAGCAAAATGCTGGAAGAGTTATTCAAAGGCCAAGGTTGTATCAGAGAACCGAAGGGCTAAAGAAGGTTGTTAATTGTTTATCGTTAATCCAACGCCGTCTGTAAACCAGTTTTGAATATTGCCCGGGTTGAAACTAAAACCAAGGTTTGGTTTGTTACAATACAAAAAACGATTGCTACAATATTTCGGCTCTTTTTCAGAGTAATAGTCATGTGGACAGTGGTTAGCTCAAAACAAGTGGAGAGCTTATATACCGAGGCTAATTAAGCCTATAAACAAAGCTAAACAAGCGATGACATAACATGCTGTAATCAAACAGATCAAACAAAAAGATTGAACTCTCTAGGCTTTAGGTTCTTGGTGTAGAAAGCTTCGTGAAATGCCAATTGCGACCAATTGTCATTCCTGAGTTAGTGTGAACAGCATCAAAAATGTGTTCTTTGAGATTTACAATTGTAGACGGTAAATCACTGTTGCAAATTAAACAGGTAATTCAGTG